TCATTTAGGTGCTTTTATCAAAGAGAAGATACACTGGTGCTCTAGAAAGAGAGGAAGCAACAGAGAGACCCAGAAATACAGCATGTGTGTGTGTGTGTGTGTGTAATTGTGCGTGCATTATGTAAGCACCATTTTTGAAAGATCCACAGGGAGTCAAAGTTAGGGAAGTTTTCTGTCTGAGCGTGCCAAAGTGATACATAGGTTAATGGGTGTTTCAGCAGCACTTTACTGAGCCGTGGTTTCTGTGATGGCCAGGCTCATGTGCTTAACAATGGCCTTATAAGTCAGCAGCTATAACATAAAACAGTAGTGACTGATTGCTTTTCTAAGGACAATCAACTGGGTGTTTATGCTATCTGGTGGAAGAGAATGGAAATCTGATGAATGACTGTAAGAGCAAAGGCAGAGAGACCCAAGTGTCATATTAGTTTGAACCTTCTAATTTGACCTGCTTTTCCTAAGCTAAAATCAAAATTTGTAATTTAATTGTTCATGTGTATCAGGTTTATATCAGTGTATTAAGGCTTCTTGTAACCATGCCCTCGCACACAATTCAGTCAGCATTCAACTATTTGTAGGTAAACACACACTCTACACACTCTCATATTTCTGCATGCATTTTTAACCCTTCATTTCCACCGGGTGTGGCTGCGTTGCGTTCTGTGTGCGACACCATTGCGGGAGCTGATCGCTGTCGGTCTAGTCAGTGCTTGTGATTCCACTGAATGTGGTTGTGGTGTGTGACCAAAGCCTCCCAAATGTGGCTTGCCACTCTACTTTGTCTAGTTGTCAGCCAAAAGATCTTTGATCTGTGTTTCATAAGGACTTAACTATAATGGTTAAATTTAACAGTTAACTTCACTCTTTGTCTGTAGGCTACAGCACAACAAAGTAGGAAATAAGAACAACTAGACAGCACTCTGAATGCAAAGCTTCACCAAAAGGCAGCTTAGTTTCCCCATAATGCCATAACAGCAATATTCCCGTGATAGTTTAAGCCTCGTAACGCAATTGCGTGACCGTGAAGACCTACTGCTGGCATTTAGAATGAAGCTGATATCGTAATTAATCTGAAAGTTATTCAAGAAAAACGATGGACATGACAGACATTCACTTGTTGGTTTAGAGGTAAAACAGGGACGTCAGTAAGTGGACCGTGGCAGAGCGATGAAGACGTCACATTTCTGCAAGTTTGTGTTCAGCTGTCTGATAAACTACTCATGCAGTCTCTGTTACTGGCTGATTGTTGCACTGTGGAGTAGTCCTTCATGTCCTCTGCTCCCTTTGCTCAGCTGTGAGTGTTTGTGAGAGGAGTGCAGCCTCTCTCTCCTTTAAACAGAAAAGGACACAACACAAACTACAGTGGAAAAACAAAGTAGGACGGTCCACGTCAACCGGTGAGCTTATGCAGGTGACAGTTAAGGGAAGCATAGGGTGCACAACTCGTTAGGTTACAACAGTGGAAACACAGCTATAATGTTCAGCTGGAACACCGGCGTCCTCGCCAACAGACTACTATACTCTGAACGAGATGTAGCTTGGTCAAATAACAATTGAACTACTCGTATCTCTTAAAAGTCAGAATAAATTCTAAATTGGCATTACTTGGACAGAGTGACCACATATTCCCAATCTGAGTGGTTATTTTGGTGCCTGAAAATATGTAAAAACTTAATAAAATGACATTATACCAGTCCTACGGATGAAGATAACCACTTTGATACGGATCAGAACCCAAATCTAATCAGCTGTTTCATGGCCAATACCCTACATTGCCAAAAAATTTGGCAGAGGTAATAAACACATGAAGGTGTATATGGACATTATTGAGTATGGCTGTACATTGACCAGCAACAGTATCAAAGTGCTCTGTTTGGGATGACAAGACAGCATCCCATTCTCATGAGGATCCCCAGGACATTTACTGGCTAGCGCAGTGCCTTTACTTGACCTCACAATTCATGAGCCATGAAACCAAAATACTGAGCTCAAAGGTGCTGAATTGGTCCACAGAGATGAGAGGAACTACAAAGCTGGCA